AAAAAAAAAAAAAAAAAAAAAAAAAAAAGAAAAAAAAAAGAATTAAATGAATTTGGTTTTAAAAAAGATAAAATGAAGGGAAAGAGGTAAGGATAATGTTTCAGAGCACGAGACAACATATCAAATCTCTTCTTTGCCCACAAGTGATGCAGAATTAGAACTTGACCTGGTCCTCTTCATTTTACAGCCCAGAGTGCGAATGTAGGATGGCTAAGCCAAGACTGAAACCTCAGTTTTCTAATTAGATCAAGCAATGTCTCTTCTGTACCACATATCATAACTCTGAGGATCAGCACTTTCTAGATAGAGTGGCACTGTCCTTCAGAGAGAGAGACAGAAATACATGGTATTAAGAAATGTGAACCCAGATGCTAGGCCCTAAGGACAGAAAGCTCCACCAATCAGTTGTAGTGATAGGTATAGGTAAGCGACTTAACTTCTTGTGCCTTGGTTCCGTCCTCTGTAAAATAGGGATGATAACAGTACCCATCTCTGAAGTTTGTTATCAGAATTTGATTAATATGGGTAAAGTCCCTAGAGAGTGCCTAACTCATAGTAAGTGTGAGCTATTGAGCAACTGAGTTACTGAGGGGCTACTTGAGTAAAAGGAGCAACTGAGTTACTCAGGTCCTTTCTTCCTAGGCAGGTACCTGAACTCTTCATTCATCCTCTGGTCCTTCATGCCATGGATTCTTTGTAGAGTACTTGTAATGATTTCGGAGTATGTTCTCCTGTATGCCACTGTTCAATGGCCTGGACTCTTCCTGAGAGACAAGAGCCTTGTGTGAACCCTTGCGGTTTCCACTACCTTGTCTCCCTCTTGCCCACGGTGGCCTCTGCCCTCCAGAAGGTTGTGTGCTATTGATTTCAAGTGTTCCCTGGAAAATAGGAATTAATACCTGTCCCCACACTGCCTCATCATCTGAAGGAAGAAGTCTAGTGTGCAGGCACTGAGTAAACAACAGCACTGGTTGTATTTTGATCAGATTACTTTTTATGTACCCCCAACCTTGGTTAATATTCAGGTCCATGGGTCTTGGGAAAAGAGGGGAAACTCCCTGGAACAGTCAAGCATCAGCTCAAAGAAGGACCAGGTAAACATTAGGTGTCAGGATAAACATCAGCCTCTGAGCTGGCTGCTCTGGCCGCTAAAAATGTGGCCAAAACTTTGTACTAGCCTTTCCCCGCTGAACATAGGTGGGGCATTGGGACTACAACGTGGGTTCACTTTTCTCGCCTCTCTGGTTTCAAGCTGTTTTCTGCCCTGCTCCATGGAATGAATCCTCTCTAGCAGAGTGAAATGATTAGCACAGTGCTAGAGTTTTAGGTACTCAAATGATGACTACTGCCATTAATAACAGCAGTAATATTCACAATTCCTTGTCAGGAACCCTCTCAGTGTCCCGGGGTACCCTCATCCAATGGCTGAGGCCATCCTCCCAGAGCATCTTCTGGGGTTTTTTCCCAGCGGGCCTGCATTGCAGTCCCGCAACCCCAGCAACCCCAGCCCGCAGGAACAGGCTAAACTGGGAGGAGATTGCGGCAGGAATGCGGCGCGAAGGCGCCGGATGTCGCCCGACCGCCTGCTCCAGGAGAGTGGGCGCCCTCGCCGGCTCCCTCTCTCGGCGTCCCGCTCGGGCTCTGGGAACATGAACTCCCCAGCCTCCCGAGGCGCGAAGAGTGGAGAAGTGGCGCGCACCCCGCGAACACAGGCACACTTCTGACATCCTTCGGAGTCCCGCAGCCCCGCGGAGAGAAGTCCGTGACGCCCGGCTTTCCCGCCGCTGGGGAGGGCGGGGCAGCTTCTGCCCTGGCCCCGCCCCGTCGAGGCCCCGCCCCCTCAGGTTG